CAGCACGCCCATCTTCAACAGCAGGACATGTTTACACCAGTTAAATCATTCATTTCCTATAAATTAAAACAACAATCCATAGAATTTTGAAGTTGTTCGCCTAGCGCAACATAAATCCTCAACATTTTCTTTAGGCATTTGTATAGCTCTGCTGTACGATCTAAGTCATAACTCATTTTAGGATTCTGAGGTTGTCATTCGTTACGACCTAAATACTCATATCTTCCAGACTAATTGTGCGATCGTTTCACACGAATGTAAGTCTTAAATAGATAAAATTGACAGGATAAAACGCTTGAATATTTCTCCTCGAAACTTAAGCCAAACCATAGGGCAGACTGGGAAGTCACCGAGAATCTCCTCTGGATCTGTGGCATCCCCTAGTTCTTCTTCCTTTGGATTCTGTAATAAGTGTTCCAAATTTGAGTCATTCCTCTTTTACATCTCTTTGTCCGATTTCGTTGAAAAGTTCTATCCTTTTGAAGTTGAAAACCGATTTCGTTGAAAAGTTCTATCCTTTTGAAGTCCTTGAAGATAATTTTTTCTGATTTTTATCGAGAGTATTCTTAAGTGACTTCGGTCATTTATAGGGGTTTGCTTTATAGGGGTTTGCTTTTATAGGAAGCTTTTCCGAACTCAGCTTAAAATAAACTCTATTTAATTTTTCATATTAAATAGAGGAATTTGTCGGCAAATAAAACGGTTTTGTAAACCAAACGGAAATTATATATTTCTTAGTTTATTTGATCGAGTCTCATCCTCAAGTCTTGTGTTTATCCCTCGGGATCCTCGGGATAGATACAGGGTATCCCTGAGGTAGAGTGCTAGGTTTGAGGTAGAGTGCTATTTCATTTAAACTGTGAAAATTATGGGGTCAGTTTGATTTCATATTTTTCTAAACTTAAATCTATATGTAAATTAAAACGTCATTCCAAAGCAGGCGACGGGATTTCGATTCCGGCGACCGACAGCATCCTACGGGCAACTCACCACACCCCAACTTTTTATCGCCGACACTACGCAAAGGCTATAGAGACGCACAAATTCATATGTGCCATAAAAGTCCAGGCAATAAGAGAGGCATCGCACGTGCACTTGCAAACAAAATTAAAATAAAAAAAAAAAACATGCTTGAGGTCCATCCATAATACAAAACTTCGTATGGCATTTTTGAGCAGGCCCATGCCATGAACAAACAAGCACATGAGAATATATGGCAATGCAACAAAGTATAGTCAAGCTCCTATGTAATGCATAATTAGTTAATTACAGCAGCCAAGCACAGCCCCTGGTGCGATAGAATACTAGCGGCTCACTAGTAATTCTAGTCCTAAAAATCATAAAAAAATGCCAAAACTAAAATAAATTGGAAAATTTACATAATCAGGAAGAATTTCCCTAAAATTACTTTTGTGAAAATAATGGCAAAAGACACGGCCTCACCTTGAAAAAGAAAACAGCAGCAATTAGGCCAGTTTGAGCATAGTCCAGTGTCGTGTATACAAAGTTGAGCACTGCTCTCTGAAATGACTGCAGCAATGAGCATTTAATCAAACAACCGAAATGAACATATGCCATGGTATAAATCAAATATTTTATCGTATGAAGCAGTAGAAATAGAGATGTACCTTCAACCAAGGGGGACCACGAAGCCTCTCTAGCTCACCACTTCTAATCTTTGATAATCTGGATGATGAATCCATCTAACTTGACATCATTAGAATGCAATACATCATAAAGAAAACTCCATGCCACAGCAAAAACTTCATCATATTGAAACTCTAAAACTTTGAATGCAATTATAAACCAGAACAAAATTTCAAAAAACAAAACAAAATAAAGAGTCAGATACAAATTTAAAATAATCAGGAAGATTTCTCCCAGTAAATGCAAATGTGGTAAAAATCTTATGCAACAAAAAATGAATTTTTAAGTGTTAGGATGACGTTATTGATATCCCAAATACAAAGCAAAGACATAAGAGATTCTTCGCGAATAGACAATGTTTGAAGCTTGTAATTCCTACAACTGTACTGGAAAATCTCAATGTGCCATCGCAAAGTGCATAGGGATAACCACACAATTTAAATTCAGTCATATACTCCATACCAATTCTTGTCCTGTAGCACGAGATACATGGATGCCGAGAGCATGTAGTCCCAGGGAAAAGAAACCGGTAGCATCCAACAAGTATAACAGTTGATAAGCAAATGAGAGCCCTGCAGAAGAAGCATGAAATGGCAATTTAGAACCATCCAAGGCCTACAAAGCATACACATTCTCCAGCCCTGAAGAATGGGTTAGCGCTGCCAATACAGAATTCATAAGCAGGTTTTTTTTTTTAAATGCATGAAACGCACTAATTTGGCTTTATAACCATTTTCATAAACTTAACTTTTTATCAGCCATCATAACTGCATCAGTCTTAGCAGACTACTTAAATTAACTTCTGAATCTTGTCACCATCCATTCTTGATAATACATCATAACTGCACCAGTCTTGGCAATACAGAATTCGTAATCAGATATATTTAATGCATGAAACGCACTAATTTGGTTCTATAACCACTTTTCATAAGCTTCAATTTTTATCAGCCATCATAACTGCATCAGTCTTAGCAAACTACATAAATTAAATTTTGATTCTTTTCACCATCCATTCTTGACAAGACATCCATCCACTTCACATTCTAGATTAACTAATTTAAAACTGCATAATTTGAGGTGGGCGTCTGAGTGAGGCGCAAGCAAATTGCCTCAAAGAGCATGCTCACGGAGGTAGAAAGAGGCGTAAATGCCTAAATTTTTGCTGCATGCAACGAGGTGTACCCCTAAATTGTTATGGATAATACTGAATAAAAAGCTCACAATAATAATCTCATGTACAACCCAAACCCTAAACATATTAGCCATAATCATACTAAACAATAATAAATGACAAAAGACTAAATTGTACTAAGTCGCACAAAAAACAAAATTAGCTAAGCACCGGCGTAACAATACTCTCCTCCCAAAAGATACCTTCTCCTCCAGATGAGAAAAAATGAGGGTGTTCATCCACCAAAGTTGTCTCTGTTTATTTATCATCTGCCTCCTAGTCACACAATGTGAGAAACTGTAATGTTCAATTCTTGCAATGATATCCCGGGGCAAACTTCTCATCACACTAAAAACATAACCTCTTGGCTTGCTTCTCCTGAATCTCTGTCTGCAAGGCACTTGAGTGTCGCTCTCTGTCATGACCTATGATTCTTGTTATGTGATGCCTCCTTCTAAACTTCAACTATTTGAGCTATTTGTATTTTTGTGGGTTGTCGTAGTTCAATATGATGCTCCACTTGTGCTGCTCATATTAATCCATTCCATTGCATTATGATGTTCAACAAACTGAAAAAAATTCTAAAGTTTCTCCCAAGCCTAGTGGTTTCAGCGGCTAAAGTGTTGCATGTATGTCAGGCTTTAGACCATTCACGAAATTCCCCCCAACCATCTCGACAAGAGCTTAAATATGTTCCTATATTCCATGACAGTCTCATCCCGAGTCGATGAAAAGAATTACTCGTATAGGTATTCTTTCCGAATAGCTCAAAAATATTCCAATAAGCAATTCTTAAATTTGTCCCACAAGTAAATCGGATATCCAGTCTCCTCCATTGAAATCATGTTAGGGCTTTCCCCCCCCCAAACATAACCCTACCGCTATCAACTTTTCCTCCCCATTTTGCCCATTCATCGTGAAATATCGATCCACTCGATACACTCATCCATGTGTGTGTGTCTTCCCCCTCGAAGAAGATCGACATCTTCAACTTTCTAACCCTAGCATCTCCACACCAACTTCCTCTCCCTCTATTGTCACCCCATGTATCAAGGGTAAAACTCCCTCCAATCATAGCCATATTTCACCCTGTTTCTATCTTTTCTTCATTGCGCTCTTCCATATCCCTTGCATAACCTCTTCTCCATGTTTCAACCCAACAACTTCCATAAAAAATCTTACAACACCCCAAATAAAAACCCTGAAAGGGAGTTCTTGATGTGGGATGCTTTCCTCTCATTAAATCTCTTTTTCTTTTGATTTAGCCAAGAATTCTCTGGTCAACCCTTCGTTAGGGTTTAGGAATTGAACTGTCGGTGGAGTTTTTGACTGCATCTCGATAAGTTTCTGCATCATCTCCTCCAAACGCTCAAATCAGCTCTCAATTCAGTTTTCAATGGAAGAAAACCTATCATATATAGAGAAAAACCTTCCTTCTATGGTGAAGAACCATTTCTACATCCTAGATCTGATTTGACTCATTTCTTCCTCCAACTCCTTCTGCAAATCTGATTTGACTCATTTCTCCAATTTTCTGCCATTTTTGAAGCCTGTATACCGCAATCCCATAGTTGATTTGCATCGGGACTTTCTCTTGGTTTGATCGCAATCATGACTTTTCTACCATTAGGGCAAGTTGCAATCTTCCCACCCAGGTCGTGGAAAAATCAGCTAGAATCACGATGCTTCACAGAGAAATTAAATCATGACTATAAGCTCAAATTGCAACTGTATTGGCAAAGTTCAGTCACTGTAGCTGCGATCCAATCGTTTCCTTCCAGCGATCGTGATTGTATTGTAGGAATGGTCACACGATCCTTGCTACAGTATATGAACCGAACCTTTACACTCAATCCTGACACTGCTAGCTTCAAATCACGACCAAGGAAGTGTCGCGATACTTGCGACTAAGTTGATCCCGTCCTTAGCTTCACAGCACACCAAGATTTCGTGCATTTCTTCCTAGCTAAAGAAAAACATAGCGATCTATACTTTGGCTTTTTCCATAGCTGAATCCCTTCCTGTTTGACCTGGTACGCTGCGATTCGGCGGGCTCTTCCCATAATCTTGCTTTGATACCAATTTGATAAGATTTTCTATAGAAATTAGGGTAAAATATATATTTTATTTCTACAAAGCAGACAATACAACCACGAATATATAAAATGAAAGATGAACACCTATAATTCGAGAGAGAGGTGATCTCTCTCAATTTCTACAATTCAAGAGGTAGGAAATCTCTCCCAAATACTAAACTTAAGACTCACAACAATAATGTTATGCATAACCTTAACTTTAAACATGTTAGCCCTATTTATACCAAACAATACTAAATGACAAAAAACAAAATTACTATTTGGCGCATAAAAGATAAAATTGCCCTTAGGCTGGGCATCAGCATAAATATACTAAATATAAAGCTTGTACATTAGGTAGCTTGTATAATAAAAAGCTTCTATAATCCTTATTCCTAATTCGTGGATAGAAGAGTATCTATAAATATGTAACATATGATTTCAATTAGAAAATAAGAAGAAAGAAAGTTTTCCGCTCACATGGTATCACAACTTTGTTGAATCCTTCCCCTTTAGATCTTTAATCTTGGACGTTAGCCCTTGGGAATCATTAATTTTTTGGCTCGGGCTCATTTCAACTTCCTCGACGTCTTTGTCTGCTTCCTGTGACGTCATCATCTTCTTCCTATGACAAACTCGATTGTCTTCAGCTCAAGCGCATTCTGGCTTCATCGAGTCTTCAGCTGCTTCAAACAACACCATCTGCATCGTTTGCTTCCTTCGGCTTCTACTTCATTTGCGACATCTACTTTGAACTGATTCGAACACGTAAGTGTTTGCTTTGTTTGTGACGCCTTTGTTTCCTACTATCATTCGTCTGCATCTACTTCAACCACCCTATCTACGCCAATAAAATTAGGCCATCAACCACATTTGTTGCATTTCGCTCTGTCTGCTTGATCTCGCTAGGTCAATTCCCTCGACTTTTGTTTTTGGCTTCTATGGTTGCAGCTGTGTCGATTCAAATCTTTAATTTATTCTACGATTCTGGGTGGTCAAGTATTTTGTCTCCAAATATTTTGGTCGTTTGTTCTTCGACACTAAATGGCATCAATTATGGTTGATGAAAAAAAAACTTGTGATAGGTTTGATTTCATCAGTGGCTAAAACTATGAATGAAAAGTTAAATAAAATCAATTATTTTTACTGAAATAAAACTATGAGACTCTCTTTAAAAAGTATTTCTCAAGAAAGTCAACTCACTGTTAATTCCCCAGCTGACACTGAATCGAAGTATTCTGAATGGATGAAGGTGGATGCACAACTATTGATACAAATAAGGAACTCTATCGAACGTGATTAATCTCGTCATATTATTCATTGTGACTGTGTTAACAATACAATAACGAAAATGACATTTGAGCTTTTTGGGAGAATATTTTTTGAATTTTTTATGTTTGCAAGTTTTCTCGAGCTAAACAACAAGATCAGTCACTTAACATATATCACGTGCAGTTTAAATGTGTATGAAGAATTGAATGCGCTATTGTCATTCATTACCGATGTTTGGATTCAGTAGGCTGAAAGAGAACAAATTACCATTATGAGTTTTTTACTCGGCCTCAACTCTCCGTATGAAGGTATTAAGTCACAAATCTTATCTAATCATAGATGTACTAATATGAGAGAAGTCTTTACCACAATATTGTGTACAATTCCGAGTTTTCAAGTCTCATATGTATAACAATTTATTGCTTATGCTAGTCAGAAAAATACAGACATCAGCAAACTTCAATCTCAGTATAATTAAAAAAGTTGACCTAAAACTTAGTCACATGAAAAGAACCTCTCAGAATAAGGTCCAAACTTGCCGAAAAAGAACCAAAAGTGTTCTAAATCACAATCAGCTCACACGGCCACTAATAATAAAACCTCTCAGAGTCAATAATCTCTCGATCTCGACAAACTAATATGTTAAATTCATCAAATTTCATGAAGCATCCAAGAAATGCTCATATATCACTTCCCTTTTTGAGTCAGGTAACAATGATACTTATCTTCTTTCCACTTCCACATAATAGGTCATTGATTCTGGTGTTATAGATCACATGACAGGTAATCCAAAACTCTTTTCTACATTTCTTAGGTGTTTTTCATCCATCACTTTAGCAAATGGATCTACCTTTAATATTCTGGGTTCTGACACAATCAATGTTACACCCACATTACTGTTAACTTTTGTTCTCAATTTACCTCAATTCGTTTTTAATCTTATCTCTGCCAACAAAATCACATGTGTTCTTAGTTGTTGTATCTTATTCTTTCTAGACCATTATCTACTTCAAGATCTTATGAGAAAGAAGATTATTGGGAAAAGACGAGAATAGGGGGTTGCACAATGTGGATAACATAACTCGACTCGTAGCATGTTACATCACCTCATCTTCTATTGATATCCATTGTCAATTAGAGCATCCATCACTATCAATGTTGAAAATGTTATATCCTCAGTTTCAACAACTATCATCTTTAGATTTTGAGGCGTGTTAATTTGTCGAACACCATTGTTTGTCTTTCGTACTTAGAATTAATAAATGAGACTATTATAGTTTTGAGTTATGATGCACGGACACCTCTAATTAAGGAGTCGCGCAGTGTCAGACATGTATCAGACCCTAACACGGCTCCGATAAGTGTCGAACATAGAAAAAAATATCTGATAAAAAAATTGAACGCATGCACGACTCATGTCGAACAAGTTATCCTAAATTAATGAATTAAAAATTTTTGAAAATTATTCTTTAAGACTAAAATTAAAAGAAGTATAATTTTATGAAAATTTTAAGGAGGATTTACATACATACCACTCAATTTTTACGTATTTTTGTATCTAGCAACAAAATTTCAAATTTTATATCTATGCCACCTTACATATATATATATGAGAAGGTGTATTTCACTTTTTAAAACTAAAATTTGTGGTATATTAAATGTGATATAAAAGATTTGAGTGGAGTAAATATAAAAATCAAAATATAAGTGTTAGATATTTAAATACACAAGATTTAATGTCAAAGAAGCCACTAATCCTTCTATTTTTTTAAATAAATAATGATTAAGAGGAATTCAACCTTGATGTAATTCAAGATAATATATAATTACTTTTTGCATGTCACAAATTAAACAATTATCTATGAACATCTTAAGGGTTGTTTGGGTGCATCTTTATTATTTTTTTTATATTTTATATTTTTATTTTTAATTTATGCTTTGATTTAAATTAAAGCATGCTTGATTGAGATAATTATTTTTAGAAACACTAAAAATAACTTTTATATAATATGATTATTTTTAAATATAATTTGATTTATTTTTTAAAAATAAAATATATAAAAATTATATCAACTAAAACAAAAAAAAATTAATGTCAAATGAACTATAAAATTTTTAAAAGTAAATGCTACCAAATTTCTTATTTTTTTTCGTTTGTATTAATCTTAATATTTTACTTGTTTAGTTTTGTGTATTTTTAATATTTTTTATTATAATGTGTGTGTGTGTCTGACGCGTGTTTGTGCTCTATAATTTTAATAATAGACTCGTCTTATATCTATGTTATGTCGTATCTGTGTTTTCATGTTTGTATTCATGCAACATAAGTTTTGATTTTGTTCATTCTAATGTATGGGAACCTTACCCTGTTTTTATCTCATAGATTTTGATAATTTGTTAGTTTTGTGGATGATTTTTCTCATATGACTTGGCATTACTTTATGAGATATCGTTCTAAATTATTGTCATACTTTCAATCATTTTGTGTTGAAATTAAACTCAATTCAATGTTTCTGTTAAGACTTTGAGAAATGATAATGTCAAAAAATATTTCTTTACACCTTTTCAGACATACATGATGCAAAATAGAATGCTTCACCTGTCATTTTGTGTCCATACTCCATCCCAAAATAAAGTAGTTTAAAGAAAAAAATATATCTTCTTGAGACGGCTAGGGCTCTTTTATTTTAAACGAATGTGTATAAATAGTTCTGGGTTGATGAAATCCTTACTGCATGTTTTTTGATCAATCAGACGTCTTCCACTGTCCTACATAACCAGACACATTACCAAGGGTCATTTCCAGCTAACTCTCTTTTTTCTATTGAACCATGCATATTTGAGTGTACTTGTTTTCTTCATGATACTCATCTACAAGTGTTTAAACTTGGCCCTAAGTCATTTAGGTGTGTCTTTCCGAGATATTCTTGACTGCAAAAAGGGTATTGATGTTTATTCTTTCACTTAAACAGGTACATGATTTCTACTAATGTCACCATTCATGAAAAAATACCCATTCTTTGGTGACTCAACAGTGTCTAAATTCACACCAAATTCGATGAGTTGTTAATGTATCATATCATAAGTTCAAATCCATCTCCATCTCCAATATCTCAGCCTAAACCACATATCATAAATATTTACTCGAGAAGACTTTTCTCATTTGATCCTAGTCCGAAAATATGTCGTCTTTAAAAGTCCTTATATGGATTGATGCAAAAGCATCGAGTATGGTTTGGAAAATTTAGCCAAGCAGTAGAAGGGTTTAGGATTCACAATAGTAAAATTGATCACACTATATTCAATAAGCAATGTGCTTTAGGAATCATTTTATTGGTGGTTTATGTTAATGACATTATTATTACTGGAAGTGATGTTCAGATAATCTTATCATTGAAATTATTTCTTAAAAATCAGTTTGGCACTAAAGATATGGGTTACTTGAAGTACTTATTAGAGATTGAGATATCAAGGAGAAAGAATGGTATTTTTCTATCTCAATGAAAGTTTTTTTTGGTTTTGTTAGCGGGAACAGGAAATTTAGAGACCAAACCATGCAGTATTTTGATGGTTGTTAATCAACAACTTACCAAAAATAGAGAGTTTTTTAATGATACTGGATGATATAAAAAATTAGTGGAAAAATTGAATTACCTCACAGTGACTCGTCCTAGCATTGTGTATTTAATTAGTATTATACGTTAATTCATGTCTTTCCCCACATTCCATCATTGATCAGCTCTGGAACAGATACTGTGTTACTTCAAAGGAGCGCCTGAAAAAGGAATTCTATATTAGAATCATGGGTACAAAAATATTAAATGCTTCTCTGATGCAGATTGGGCAAGTTCTAAGATTGATCGAAGGTCCATTACTTGATATTGTGTTTTTGTCGATGATAATTTGGTCTCATGGCAGAGTAAGAAACAAAATGTAGTGTCATAATCTAGTCCAGAATCTAAGTATGGAGCAATGACACAAGCTTCAAGTGAATTAACGTAGGTCTTCCAATTCCTAATCAAAACGGGCTTTATGATGACCACTCCCGCAAAGTTGTGGTGTGTAAAAAAACTGCAATTCATATTGCTTTAAACCCTGTCTCCATAAACGAACAAAACACACTGAAATAGATTGTCATTTTGTTTGTGAAAGATTCAATAAAATTTGATTTCTACAACTCATGTAAAGATTGGAAACATATTCACAAAGGCCGTTAATGCATCAAGTCACTTATATTTGTCAAGCGGGCATGATAAAAATATATTCTCAAGCTTGAAGGAAAGTGCTATGGAAAATACTTAATATAAAGCTTATATATTATGTAGCTTGTATATTAGGAAGCTTCTTTATTAGATTTATTCCTAAGCTGTAGAGAGAGGAGTGTCTATAAATATGTAACATATGATTCAATTGGGAAATAAGAAGAAAGAAAGTTTTCCGCTCACAATGCTCATAGAGGGATAAAGAGGCAAATGCCTAAATTGTTTGAGGCATGCAACGAGATGTACCCCTCTATATCAGGGTTTAGGAATTGTTTAGCTTGTTTAAACTAACAAACCAAAGCCAAATAGCATTATAAACTAAAACCAGAATATTTTAAAAAATTAATGCATGAATGGAGTGATTGAAGATTATAAAGAATATATGAGAATATTGATACAGTGAGGATGAGCAAGGTGAGAGAAAAAATGATTCTGATGAAAATCCTCCTAGCAATGGGAGTGGGAAATACTTTAGAATTCAGAGTCCTAAGTCATAACTAATTTAATTTAGGATATTTTATTGTGAACTTCTTATTCATGTTTACTTACTTGTCTTAAACTTTTTTCTTATTATTGAGTGTTAATAGAGCCTTTTATGATATTATTTTGATAGTTTTGGATTACTTTAAATCATTTATTAGGAGAAAACAAAGCTCAAATTTTTAATATGTTACTTATTACTAAATTCTAAAAAGGATTACTTTCAAATACTTTATTTTCAATACCAGCACCTGCAACATATTTTGCATTCTCTCAATTGTAGTTCCAAAATATTCTCAATCAATTCTTGACAAATTATGCCCCCCATATACCCTCATAGTATCTCAAGCAAATTATCCTTCCTAGTTAAACTATATGCTCAATCATCATACATCTGTGTAAAAATTTTGACCATTCCTTAAGCAGGTAAAGCTTAGTTAATGTTTCGGCATGAAAAAGTTGAATATACAAAAAAAAAAAGTAAAAGTGAGGGCATCTTGCATTTAATTATAGAATAACATATAGCTTTGTTCTTGAAATTATTAATGATCCATGGTGCAAAAAATTATGGCAGACCTCATCAACTATAATTAAAAAAGTGTGATAAATGACTCAAGTAAATTGAAGACCTTCATTGGTTGCATGTATCCAAGGGTAGCAAACACCTACAAATGCCATGATTTTCTTCTTGAAGCGTATCATATTTGAAGCTTGCATGTTCCGAACTTCAACTTGTGTCTGAGAAATTTCTCCTTGATGAAAAAAAATATCTACCTCATCCGGCCTTCCATCATCATGACCCCAAAGGCTTTCCTGAAGTCTTGCTTCTCTTTCTTTATTGTAGATGGAATGCAACTTGGACTTAAAATAAGGTAAAACCACCTGCAAAATTTGGAGATTGTTAATATTAACAACATCAACAACATGCCTTTATCCCATTACATGGGGTCGGCTACATCAATTATTTTTCTCCATTGCGTCCTACTTACACAAGGATTTAAAGGATTCATGTCATGATGTTCCGACTAAATGTTTACACATTTAACATTATTAAACAAATATAAGACAATATTAAACTTCTTAACTTGTCTCCTTAATTTACATTTCTTGTAATCCTTGTATTAATTGGGAGATGCTCCATAAAATATTGATTTTATTATTCATGAAGGTGCTTATGAAAAATTACTCAATGTGGGATATCATTGTTCATGTTCATTGTAAATTTATATAGTTCTTATGCGCACCTCCTCTGAAGACAACAGTTCTCCCATGCATTTTTACAGAACATGAAAGTAATTCAGTCAATCAATAGTATTGGAGGATCAATAATACCCAAATGTAACGGATTTAGTTGTGTTGAATTTACCATAAAAGAAGAGAAATTAATCTCATCTGACCTCGCAAATATTATAGGCCTAGGCTATCATTATTCCTTTTTTAATTTTTAATTCTTTTCTGTTGTTTGCATGTAAGTTCGGAGGAGGGAATTGAGTAGGGAGGGGTGGGTTGAGGTGACATGGGAATTCCTTGATTCTTTATAAACTCGTCTACAGTATGTTTCCAATTAAAACGTCCCTTCTTCATTCACCACAGCATACAATAAGCCATAATAATAGTTTATTAGTTACCTTAAGGAATTACAACCAATACATGGAAGCAATTTTCCCAATAGCCTAACAAAGTAAACGTGAAGAAGATAAATACCAGGAATACCACAGAGAGTACTTTTTGGCGCCTTCCTAAGCATGAATGATGAAGATTATCATTTGAATCCATATTGGAGGAATTTTTATTAAGCGCTAGCTTTATGGACCGCCTTCTTAGACCATATAATGACTCTGAAAAGGATGCATCTGCATGACGTGAAGTACAGTGTTCATCATTTTATAAGAGGAACGTAACGAGAAATCAATTTTGTAGAAAAAGAAAATGTAGCTCTTACAAAACATCAAGGGACATCTTGTATTACTAGCTAGTCAAACAAACTAAAGAAAGTGAAAATACACCTAATAGATTTCATTATTTCCCTCACCAAATGAATAGCAAGCTTCATCAATGCCATAAAAGCCAAAAAAAAACAACCCTTTAATAAATAAAAAATAAAACAATAGTAATATTTTTTCCCCCAATAACATAGCTTGTCACTTCAATTCCCTCATATGTCCCTATCATAAATATTTCGATAAGGAATCCTTTACAAAGCTATTTTAATAGAATTCTTCCATTAAGAATGCAGGTCATCAGAAGAGTGAATAAAATAATTAGATTAAAAAGAAAATTCTAATTAAAACTTCCACCTCAAGACTGAAACTTAAATTTACCTTCCCAATAATTACTTTCATATGTTTCCACTACTTTCCTATCTTCAAATTAATGCATCTAGAAAATGCAAGTGTGTTAAGCTCATCCTATGACAATTTTGATGGAAAAACATGTGTAACTGGTGCAAATCAGTGAAATATTGTTTATGCGACCAACACCAATCTATTATGAATGGTTTTTGGAAGTTTATATGCAAAGACCAATTGACAGTCCCTATTGCAGGCTATGTAACTTATTCATAACAGCTGAAATGTAGATCATATTTCAATCATACTAAATCACGATTCAAATTTCATCTTAAATAATTAGTTCTCAAAATTTCCATGATATAACCGTTGCTAAAATTTGAGAAAGCTTTTTGAAAACTTCATACAAATATTTCCCAAGATACAGGCATTATAATGCATGATTATGCATGAAAAATAAGCTAATATAGAAGGTAATTAACTATAGGGTCATATGCGCACCTGATATTCTCCAATTAAGGGAGATAGTTGATAGTAGCCTAGATTTAGAGGATTCTAAATTTCATGTTTTCATGCATGCTTTTAAAAAGAGAACTTAAAAATTCTCCCCCTCATTCGGTGAAAAAAAGGGGGAGGGTTTTTTATGATATATGAAACTAGTGCCCAATTTTCGCGCTTTATGACTTTATATAAGCAATGTGTGGCTAACTCTCTCTGAAAATCTTTCACAATTTCCAGCCTTCAATTAAACTATCAGTGCTTAAATTTGACTTCTATGCCAAAGATTTAAGTTTCATTTGTCATTCATTACATCTGCTCTTAGATAAACATTGGTTTGAATAATTGTTTGTAAGTCCCCAAAGAAACCCACTTTTCTCTTACATTGTTTACGTATCAGTCAATCTCGTACCATTCTCTATACTGAGTGTGAAAGGTATTTCTTATCCCAAAAGGAATATACAAGGATTGTAACATAGCTCAGAAAAAAGAATTAAATATGAGTGTCTACTTAGCCCACAAAAGGATGACGAAGGAAAGAGAAAGCTTGCATATTTTTAAGTTAAGGGTTGTTTCTTGACCCTACAAAAGAAATGAGGCTGCTAACCAATGAACTTGAAGAAAAATAGCGGCGGTGTTGTCTCTTGTCTAAGCTGGTGATAAGGGGATCGGAATACTCATTGAGCTTCACAACTTTTGAAGAAGCTTATATGGCTAACATATTTCAAAGAACAGCTTAAAGGAGAGGATGTAAGCTTAAATGTGGCTAACTCATTCCCCTTTTATGGAATTTCAATGGCAAAATACATGAAAAGAAGCAGAGTTGTAGATAAGCATCTCAAAGCAGGAACCATAGAACAACAGATGGCGTGAATTAGCCTTCAAGGCAGAGAATTGGAGTATTTAATCTAAAAGATACTACTCTACAGCGTTATTCTTTCAGAACAAACACGCCAGAATAAGAGAATGTATCTGTAATTTGTTGGAGGAAAAACCAAAAAGGCATCTTGCTTACCTTATAAGAATAATTCCAAATACACCAATACGAAAAATAAAAAGAAACATTAAGCATCATGATGATTACAAACCTGTGGTTCTTAAGCTGTGACTTTCAAGAACCATCATCAACAAGGCAAAGAACTCGTCATCAAAGTCTAAGATTTTGTGGAGGAATGGCCTTCTCAAGGCAAGTACCTGCATCACAAGATCAGGAAATGTGAATTGGCGTTGATTGAAGAGTCTGACAATGCGAGCAGATAAAAGATCAACAACCAAAGAATACAAGGAATCGATTTTTAAACTTTTAGCAATCGAATCCTCACACCACAATACCGGTAGCGCTGTACGAGACATGACAGTTCGAAATTTCGGTACAAAATAGACATAATAGGTACAATTCTTGAAGCCGCAAAACTTCCAGTAGAATAAGCTGGAGTAAGAGATGGATAAAGATAAAAAGAAGTAATTACGCCAAGAGAGTAACTGAGAGCAGCTCTAAGGCTGGCCGGAAGCTGTTGAGCCGCAGCCATCTCGAAGAAGGTTGGCCGCGTTCCCTGTCCTCCCACCTGAAACAACATTTTTTTCTCGCGTTCCCCTCAAACCAAAGGATATTAGGGTTTCCCAATCCGCACCGAACGGAGAGAAATATTCCTAGGTTTTCCAAAATAATAATCGAAGTGGCAGACAGCAGGCCATATGAGCAAGACGGCGAAGTAGGTTCGCTAAAGCGAGCGAGGAATACCGATGTTAACAACGGCCACTAACGAAGCTAGAGAGAGAGAAGCAGTTTTTTTTTCTCTCTCCCTCTCTTTCTTACGCATGGGATCATATTTGGCCAGGGAGGAAATGTTGGCTCACCATACCATCCTCAGTATAATTAGAATTCACAGCTCAACTAAGGGTCTGTAGCTAATTAAAAAATTGTTGTGCAATAATTGTTCTAAGAAGTTGTATTGTACAAGTTGGTTCAGAGGCTCACAGCCTGCTTTTTTTTCAGTTTTGTAGTAGTTGTACTGCAGTTATTTCTGAACAAATATTTTTCTACCCTTATAACAATGTGTTGTTTATAACAGAATCAATAATGCTAGCGTATTTCATACTTGGCAAAAGAAATATCCAGTTCAAACATTACAAAATAAAAACGGATAACTTATTAAGCAATGTGTAACATGACAATCAAAATTTAAAAGATAACTATTAAAATAATAATTAATAATATGATAATATTATTTTTAAAACACATTTTGTTTGTCCTCCAAGAAAACTTTTCACGTCTGATCACAATCGATGGAAGAATCCTTCAACACATCCACCCATCTAAAGAGATCACAGTTTTTTGTTTTTCTTCTTGGACACATTGTAAAACTATCTTCTATAGTTATATGATTATCGCGAAGTAAGCAAAGAACTTTGTAGCACATAGCAGTACCATGCTCTGGAGGTATCGGAAGCCCTCGAACTCACATTTTTTAAAGCTTTAAAACAATAACGCAAAACCCTTTGATGCAACATTAGTGAAAACAAAAATAATTGAAGTAAACAATTCAAATTTTACAAAACTGTGAGGTCTTATAACATATGAATATCACAAAAAAAAAGTAATCCAAAATAACCTTAACGGTCATATGATTTAAAAAGAAGAACTTGATTGTCTTCATTAGGATTTCACACACGTCAAAAACCAATAGCGACATATAGGTCGTCCAGAAGAAACCTTAAAGTCAAATGTTTCATAATAGACCTCCAAATCTAAAAATAGAACATGCAATAAGAACTTATGTTACATATTATATTCACGGTTGTCTCATTAGTCATCACAATGAGAAAGAATACATGTAAAAGAACTGGAAATAAAAATGAGATTTAAAATAAACATCGCTGCATAAAACATCGATACAATAAATAAAAAAATTTTCATCATAAAATTGCAAATAAAGTGATAGCAAAAAAACATACAATCGCTCCAATCAACTGCCAACTATGGCATTTGTAATTCACTCCCTCAACTTTATCATCTCTCAATCACCTTCCCAAACCTAGTGCAAGTCTCAGGCAAGTCACATTCAACTGTGATAAAGATTGCCCGACGTGATATTCATATGCTTCAACAGGGATATGTGAATGATCTTCATCAGCTATGTTGAAGCTAATGTCGTTGCACGAAGGATGCCACCGAATATTTTTGTGGAGAATCATTATGACAACCACAATCTACAATTGTTTAGAAAATGGATATGTTGAAGTATCCCGTAGTATGACCCATTTTTTCTTTCAAACTCTCACCACGTAAAAATGATTGTCTCATGTTAAACATCGTTTTTTCTACCTCAAGGGATATTGTTTGCTCTTTCAAAATTAGGAATGCGTGATTTATTATTCAGAAATAGTTTTAGAAACCCTCTTTGTAATGGGTATCCAACATCGACTAAATAATATTTATCTGACATAAATATAATAATTAGTATTGCAGTGAAACATTATCCTATTAGTAGAGACTCAAGCAAACATGAGAGTGATTAAAGAAAGTTGTATTTTTGAGTTTTTGTGATAAATTTGAATATGTGATTGTCATGTGCACAACCTTCCTAACCAATCATAATAAAAGTGAAACACATGTTGAAGTCATATACAACCATGACATTTTGTGTTTGTGATATGCATTGCCCGATGAATGTTATCTTTCATAATTCAAAACATGTGCATCCACATATGTTTCATCGATTACTCTAATACAACTCTAAATATTTTAACAAAGGTATCTAAATTATTGTATTCATTTGAATTTTGAAAATAATTAATAAATAGAATTACTTTAAAATATGACATATACCGCGAGTCATGTGAAATCTCTATGGAAGTCATTTCGAGTATTGGGTCATCTAGTTAAATATTTTTTAATGGAAAACTGACTCGAACATCTAACCTAATTGAAAAATATCTATTGATTATTTCATATAAGTATTGGAATCGCTTCATGGCTCCTCTCGTAGATTCAATCTGTGATAAAATGTAGATATTGGTTGCAAACAATTCATGGAAAAGTCATCATAGAGGAGTCATGAAGTCCATGATTCATGTGTAGTTCTCAAGAGATTGATGAATATGGGTTGTCATATAAAACATATTTTTGAATCTTGTTAGGTTCCTAAGAAGTAACTCCAAAACCATTTATCACTAATGCGATGTCATGTAAGAAGAGCGAGCTATGTATGAGTTATAGTACTCACACATCAAACACATTGCAGCTGCAATTCTTCTTCGGCATTTTTCTCTATGTGCATCCATGTTATACATTGTCTATGTAACTAACACATATAAGAATCACTAAATCAGCTACTATAAGAACATTCTTTACACAAGTAACAATCATAAATAAACTTAGAAAAACAAATAATAAATTATACTATGAAAAATAAATATCCAAAGCAGCATTGACAGTGTTCCAATAAAAAAAACAAATATCCAAAGCAGTATAGGCAGTGTCCCAATATAAAATAAAGATAAATTATCCAACTAGAAAAAAATGAAAGTCAGGCATCCTTGTTGTCATTCAAATAACATAAATAATTGATCTAACAATCAGGGATCATCATCATCAGGTCTTCAAGCAACTTCATAAAGAACCAGTACAATAACATGTCCTCATAAATATCTGGAGTTGCTTCCAAAATTTGCATAACTTGTCGAATGAAAGTTTTTATTGATGTATCAGGATTATTGGTGCATCAAGCAACTAAGTGTGATATTTGGTTTCTAATAAATAAAGCATCTTCTTTTTTTTCTTTTTCTTAACCCTCAGGCGCTTAGATCAATTAGAAGATTCAACTTCAATAAGGTTAGGGCTGGGGGCTTCATTTGAACCATAAATTAGCTCGACATCCATAAGCTTAGTTATGCCAGCAAAACCTCTCTTGCTAGGGGTCAATGCATGATCACCCAGGCAACAACTCCACCAAACATATTGTCCAACTTTTCTTCAAGTTCAGGGTTGATACCACCAAACATAAACTTTTTAGATTTTGAACGATCTACCAATTAATGTGTTATTCTTATGTTGGTGTAATTGAGGAAATAAATAATTGGTAAGGGACTTCACATTCTATTAATTCTAGCCTCCAATCTCTCGACCCACAATTCTTTTGAAGCATCTATGCTTTATTTTATGGGGTCCCAACCTAAGCTTGTGGATCCATACTTCAACTCTTTCCATATTATCCAATCATTTTTTAACTGATCTCACTTGTTTTTTAATTGCATCTTATCATAATCTCTTTATGTCCATTCCTTGAATTTCTTTATTATATTTTGCCAACCCTCATTATTAGAAAAGGTAGTTGACTTATTTCCTAATTTTACCTCTTTAATGCATAGGTCAAGAAACATTATTTTAACAACTTTATCCCCATCATAGATGAACCAATTTCTTTTGCCTTTACCATGATGACATTAGCATGAAAAAGAACCAAGCAACATAAATGTATAACATATGAAAAATAAAGTTTCATTTAAAGTACCAGAACTCAAAAAACCAACTGGAAGGAAACATCACAAAAAACCACAAACACCCACATCATCACTAACAACACAACCCCTAACATCAGCACACTCCACCAAGAGCACCATTGTCGTGGCACATAAGAACCAGCCTCAACATCTATACACGCCACCATGAGCACCATCACCATGGCACTAACAGTAACATCTACACACACCACCAAGAGAACCATCATCACGACACTGAGGAACCACCTCCAGCATCTACACAAACCACCAAGAGCATCATCATCATGATACTAAGGAACCAACCCCAGCATCTACGCACATCACCAAGAGCACCGCCATCATGACACTAAAGAGTCACCCCCGACATCTACACACACCAACAATAACATCACCAACAGTATCATGAACACCAAGACCACCACTAACAACATCACCCCCAACATCAACACACACCACCAATAACACTGATTCATCTCCAAGCAACCCTTCAGAGCGTCTGAGATACTTGGCATATGCAAAATTCGCCGCAACACCAAATTTAGGATCCCCACGCTCAACAAGAGGTAGAGTCTTGGTACCCTCCCAGAAGATAGATCAATCATCTGGTCCAAATCATAAGTGCTAAAGAAGAATGTTTTCTCCCTCAATCTCATTCTCCATCGGTGCTGAGAGGCACCACCCACTGAAGGGTTGAAAGCAACCGCTTGCTCAACCATCACCTGCACTTCCGGAGGTAACATTTTAAAATCAGGTTCTTGACTTTGCCCCTCCCTCAGCTCTAAAAAGATTGGGAGAGGAGCGGCTCAGTCCTCTTGGTCATCGTCTGAATGACAACTTCCCATTATGCAAAGTTTCCTCATAGGGAAACCCCCCTCCATCCTCAAAGAACCATCGACTGAATGGCCATTACTTAAATTTATAGATCCCACCTCAACCACCTGTTTAGAGGTCCTCATCTTAGGCACTACACGATTACTAGGTCATTTAACCTTAGAGAAGGACCTCACCCTTTTCTTCAATGCTTGAACCACTAATGCGCCAGCATCCTCACTAATGAATTTCGAGTGTTGTCCACCCTCCATACTCGACGCTACTGAGGGAATGGAAGTTGAATCTGAAAGAATGCTAGGAAGATAAGTCCTTATGTCTCATTTACAATGGTTTTAACACAAAAATTAAGAAGTATTCAATTATTACATATATTAATAGTAATGAATACCATGAACTAGTTCTTAAATTTTAGATGCTCTTGTCCTTATCATAGTTGTCCCTATCAAGCAACAAGAGATTTAGAAAGATTTAATATGTACATAAAGAATGTGTTAGTGTGAATCTCAAATAAATCTCAAGGTTGTTAGTAGAGATGACATGGCTGGTGGCTCCCTCTCTTATCGAAGATGACCCATCACTGTCCGTACAACCATCTAACTTTTGCGTATAAGGAGGATGACACTCTCTAATGGATAAAGAGTAGACCATCCCCTAAAAAATTTACATGGTTTTATCCATACAGACTAATCTAGCGCCCTCCAACTCAAATGAATGAAGCAGACCATTCAACTCTAGAGCAAATGGTCACCTGACTTGATGTCCTCCCGTTCTGATGGCCACCCGACCTAGTGGCCACCCAGTCAAATCCGTCGGCTCCCTGGGGCGCATTAATTTATAGACTAAAATACTTCCACCATACCTACGTACGCTAGGGGATCCATTTCATGAATAAAGATTACACAAATTTACTATTCATTACCGTGTTGTTGTTCTCTCTCTCTCTCTCTCTCTCTCTCTCTTCCATTAGCACTCTATCCCTTAGTTTTGCTTATTCAACGTATTGTATTTGAAATAATTTTGAGTTGTTTGGTTCACCATAAGCTAAACGTAATACTTTATTTTTTTTTTTTGGCTTAAAGTAGATTGAAATAATATATTTGCCTTGAGCAAGGGCGACGGGAGGGGATTGACAGCCGTTGGTGGCGGTGGCGGGCTGCAATAGCTTAATTCGATGATAATCCTTAAATATCATCAGATTTCCATCCAATTTATGTCGAAAATATCTGACACAAATATGATTAATTCCTGTAGTGAAACCCGATAGTAGATTTCTGGTTCACCACGTCACCGATCCAATTGGCATTCGATAATGTCTGAAGAGGGTCGCCATGTGTGATAACAATGTCATAATCAAGTGTGCAATGTTGATAATGAAAAATAAATTTAAGAGGTTGGAAGTGATACCTTGTAGGTTATGCATATGTTGGCATATTTGGTTCATCAAGAAGAAGATATTTGGTCTGGTAATTGTAAGGTATTATAGAGCTTCCGTAGCCCTTAGATATTATGTTCGATTATCCAAGAGGGGTTTAGTATCAGTGTCGGCACTATTTTTGGTGTGGGGGTTGCCCGTAAGAA